ATTATAAGGAAATAGATAAAATAGTAAGATATAGAAAAAAGAGCAGCAGCTAGTGTATATAAATAATTATTGTATAAAAAATAAAAGTCAAATATACGATAATTTGCAGTGTAAAATCGAGGCTTAACACAGTCCCAGAAGTTTTGTCTACATCATCATTGAGCTTTGCGATTCTTAGCACCAAGCTAAAACTTTTGAGGCTTGACGAATTTTAGCATAGGTATAAGAAAGGCAAGGCCCATTGATGATGCGAAAAAATGTCCGGTAATGTACCAAGTCTACAATCAGAAGCAGGAAATAAGTTTGAGCACCATGGCAGGGGACTCCGGAAAAGGTAGGCTCACCCTGGCAAGTTAAAATAAGGTCAAATAACTTCTATACAAGAACAGACAGAAGAAAATATGGTTTACACTATCTTAGTTTAAAAATACATTAGATATGAAGGAATGAAAATAATATAACATCTTTAAGGGAGGAAAGATACAGCTTAAGAAGACTGTTGACTAACAAATTCAACATAAACAGTGCCTTGGGATTCAAAAATAATTATGGCAGCAAAATTATGCAAGTCGGAATGATACAATAGGTATAAACAATAAAACAAAACAACTTATATTCACATGAAAATACTGAGTTTACCTTAATCGATTTTTTGAGGGAACGTAGGCTTAAGTATACCGGACGTACGACAAAAAGGGGAAATGGATGAAGAGTCCACATAAGTAAAGTAAAATCGATGTAGAGCAAAAGTCGAAGCATTTCAACGAAGATATCAACATAGAGGAGATACATAGTCTTCTTATCCCAAGGTGTTTCTCGGTGTGAGTCAATAGTATGCAATACATATCTTATAAGAGTTGATATTAAGCCAACAAGAAGCACACAATACTAAAAATAAAGTTAAATGAAAAAAAGTATGCGGAACGATTATTGTAAATACATGAGCTACCTACTTCAATTCCAACAGCAAGATGAATTGACTCTTCATTAACAGGCATCTTCCAATAAGTAGACTTTATTAGATAAAGATCAGCGAGCGATAATATAATAAAGATAGCTTTCAGAAATAAGGAAGTTAAAATGCTCATTACAGATGGCTCGAACATGAAAAAGTGTATTGATAATAGGACTTCGTTCCATCTACCAGATCAAAAAATATTAAGACATACAAAGTCTATTCTTCCTTCTATAAGCCAATGAAAAGCTCTAACAAATAGAAGGGTTGCAAATAGAAAGATGAAACTGGCAGCAAGCTCATCTTGAAAAAACACGAATACTATACATATATCAAATAAAGCATGCCAGGAGCGAGACATCATATTCTAAAATTAAAAAGAATCAAGCTTACATCTACCTCAGCCCTTTGAAGGGTCCCAAAAAAGAGT